CCGGGGCGCGGCGCCGCGGGGGCCGGCGGAAGGGGCATGGGGGTCAAGAACACGGTGGGCGCTGCCTCGGGGCCTCCCGATGCCGGTCCCAGCAGCACAAGGTGTACAGGGCTGGGGGCCGGGACGGCTGGGCCCGGGGACAGGGGCGTGGTCTCCTGCAGAGGCGGAGGCACGACCTGCTTCTCGGTGCTTCGGGAACTCCGCTGCTTCTGGAAAACAAGGCATGGGGTGGGGGACATCAGGGCTGGACTGATGTCCAGGACGCGGAAGGGGGTTTCCTCAGGAGGGTAGGGCTGAGAGTCAGACTCCAGGAGGGACTTCCCTAGGAGAGGAGGGCTGGGGATCAGACTCCACGGGTCATTTCCCAGGTGGGGCAGGCCGGGGGTCAGGCTCCAGCAGTGGGCCTTCCCTGCACTCACCTTGGAGGGCGGCGCCCGAGAGAAGATGGAGGGCACGGCATCAGGCCGCAGGTAGCGCACGCCCCAGCGCCACTGGAAGCAGGAGGGTGTGAAGTGCTCGCTGCACAAGTGCTGGTGGCAGCTGGGCACCCAGTGCTCCCGGCCCATGTGCCGCAGCCAGGCCTGCAGCCGGGGACCATCCTTCAGTGGGAACCTGCGGGGCGGTGGGGTCAGCCACATCAGGTAAAACCCACCTCTCCCTGAGAATGCTCACACCTGGAGGTCCCGGGGCTCCAAACTTCTGCCTCCCCTAGGCCAGAAACTGGCCCTGCCTCCCACCCAGGCTCTCTCTGTACCTCCCACCCACAGCCCATTCTTCAGCTCCACCTTTTAAACACCCAGCATCAGCCCACCTCTCCCACCTCCACCGCCTCATCCCTCCATCCTCCATCCTCTCCTGGCTGGGTTTTTGCAGCAGCCTCCTTCCTGGTCTCTCGGCCCCGGCCACTCTCCCCTTCCCCCCAATCTGTTCCTCCACATGAACCTGAGGGAGTAGTTTACAAAGTTGGACAAACCTAGAATTTGGGAGATTCCACATTATTGGGGATGGGGGGGGTGGGGCTAGAGATTAAAAGAGATTTAAGAAACATCAACCCAAATGCAAATGTGGACCTCGTCTGCAACAAACTATTCTGTAAAAAGACATTTTAACACAGTTGGGGAAAATTGAACATGAATTGGGTATTAGATAATTGTAAGAAATTCATTTTGCTACCTGTGATAACTGTATTGGTTTATGCTTCTAAAATAGTCATCTATTGGAAAAACATTCTGAAATATTTATGGATAAAAGACCTAATGTCTGGAATTTACTTTAAAATACTGCATTAAAGGTGTATGTGGGAGGAAGGTGAATGAGAAAGGTTGGCAAAATGTCGACAACTGGTGAAACTGAGTGATGGATACATGACGATTCATTTATACAACTCTATTTTTTGTGTATGCTTGAAAATATCTGTTAAAAAGTTTTTTAACAACTCAACAGCAACAAAAAAACAAATAACCCGATTAAAAAATGGGCAAAGGACTTGAATACACATTTCTCCAAAGAAGATATACAAGTGGCCAACCAGCATATGAAAAGATGCTCAACATCACTAATCATTAGGAAAATGCCAATCATAACCACAAAGCACCTCATAACCATTAGAATGGCTACTATAAAAAAAAAAAAAGAAAATAAGTGTTGGGGAAGATGTGCAGAAATTGGAACCCTGTGCATTGTTGATGGGAATGTAAAATGGAGCAGCCTCTATGAAAAACAGTACAGCAGTTCCTCAAAAAATTAGAATTAAAAATAGAATTACCATGTGATCCATCAATTCCACTTCTGGATATAGACCCAAAAGAATTGAAAGCAGGGTCTCAGAGATAGCTGCACACTCCTGTTCACAGCAGCATTATTTACAGTAGCCAAAAGGTGGAAGCAACCCAAGTGTCCATCAACAGAGGAATGGATAAGCAAAATGTGTATATACATACAATGGAAGAGTTTGTGTTGTTAGTGCCTGCTGTCAAGTCGATTCCAACTCCTAGTGACCCTGTGTAAAGCAGAGTGGAACCTGCCTGGTATTTTGCGCCATCCTCTCACCTTCCGGTGCTGTATCAGACAATGCTCTGCTGCTATTCACAGGGTGTTCATGGCCAATTTTTTCGGAAGTGTTATTCAGCCTTAAAAAGGAAGGAAATTCTGACACATGCTATAATATGGATGAACCTTGAGGACATTATGCTAAGTGAAATAAGCCAGTCACAACAAAAACAAATACTGTGTGATTCCACTTACATGAGGTGTCTAGAGGAGTCAAATTCATAGAGATAGAAAGTAGATGGGCCGGCCCCGTGGCTTAGCGGTTAAGTGCGCGCGCTCCGCTGCTGGCGGCCCGGGTTCGGATCCCGGGCGAGCACCGACACACCGCTTCTCCGGCCATGCTGAGGCCGCGTCCCACATACAGAAACTAGAATGGATGTGCAGCTATGACATACAACTATCTACCGGGGCTTTGGGGGAAAAATAAATAAATAAAATCTTAAAAAAAAAAAAAAAAAAAGAAAGTAGAAATGGTGGTTGCCAGGGACTGGAGGGAGGGGGAAATTGGGAGTTGTTCAATGGGTATAGAGTTTCAGTTTTTCAAGATGAAAAAGTTCTGGAGATTGGGTGCACAACAGTGTGAATATACTTAATACTGAACTGTACACTTAAAAATGGTTAAGATGGTAGATTTTATGTTCTGTGTATTTTACCACAATTAAAAATAAAAAGAAGTTGTAGAAAATGAATTATTAGCTTTCCCAGTGGGAGTGGGGGGCATTATCTGATCAGGCACCCTCTAAAGGCGCCCCACTACTCCTGCGTGCTCGTGCCACTTGTCCTCAACCTCGTTTCTACCCTCTTATACAGCAACACACTCTCTGTTTAGACCTGGGCTCAAGACTGTCCACAGTAAAGACCTCATTTCCCAACTTCATTGGCAGCCAAGGTGGCCACGTGATTAAGTTCTGGCCAGTTTGTCCCGTGGAAGCTGCCAGAAACTGTGAGACATTAAACGTTTATTTTAAGCTGCTAAATTTTGGGATGGTTTGTTCCGTAGCATTAGAAAACTAATCCAGTCAGTCATCCCCATCCCACCTTCACAATGTCTTCCATATCTGTGACATTATTTACTTAATACTTTTCTTAAAATTGAGCAACTTGAAGTATTAACCAAAGATACCTAAAAGAGAAACTTTACATCACAACTGAAAATGGAAAACCAGTATCAATTCCATCAATAGGAGTTAACCATGAAAACACTGGATTCTTTTACCCGCTGAGGGTTATGAGGCCTGCTCTCTCTCAGTTAAAAAAGAAGAGTAAGGAGGGTTAGAGAGAGGGAAAAAAAAAAAAAAAAAGAAGCAGTGTTAGAGAGTGGGGGACAATCCCACCTGCAGGGGACAGGGTAATCAACTCAGGCTCACGCACACAGAAGAATACTACCCAGCTCTAAAACAGACAGTGGAGGCACTCGATAAACTGACATGCTATTGTCAGGCATGTATTATGTGAAACGAGCAAGGTTCCAAATAGAGTATATCAGCTTTTAGCTATTGTGAATAGCGGCCTCCCAAATATATCTATGTCTTAATCCCTGGAACCTGTGAATATTTTGCTTCTTGACAAAAGATGTGATTAAGTTGAAGATCTTGAGATGGGGAAATTATCCTAGATCATCCAGGTGGCTCCTAAATGCAATCAAAAGCATCCTTATAAAAGGGAGGCAGAGAAAGATACTACCACAGACAGAAGAGGAGAAAGCAATGTGATCATGGAGGCAGAGACTGGAATGATGTGGCCGCAAGCCAAGGAATGCCTGCGGCCACCAGAAACTGGAAAAAGCAAGGAACATATTCTCCCCTAGAGCCTCCCTGGGAACGCAGCCCTGCCAAGACCTTGATTTTGGCCAGGAAAAGCGATCTGGACTGTGAGAGAATAATCCCTGTTGTTTTCCACCACCAAGTTTGTTACAGCAGCCACAGGAAACTAATACAGTAATAAAGGGGGAAATAAGAACATATATTCAGATTTGCTTATACGTGCATAAAGAAACACTGGGAAGGACAGGTAACAAACTAAAGAGGCCACCAGTGGGGAGGAGATGGATGGGAGGGACAGAGAAGGCAGGGAGCAAGACTTCTCAGGCAACAGGCAGAGGGCGGGGAGCAGCCGGTGAAAGAGCACAGAAGGGCTGACTCAGGGAAGAGCTGTGGCCCCCTCAGAGCAGACCCCAGGGCTCACAGCCAGGAACTCTGCCTGGCACAGTGCCTTCAGCCTCTGCCTGGCATCCAAGTGCTCTCGCAGCCCCATTCTGCCTGGACACGCAGGGAATCCCTGGCAGCAGCACTCCCCACCCCCTCCCCAGCAGAGACTGCCCGCTGCCTACTCCATATCCACTCTCTTCTTCCTAACGAAACTCCAACTTTGAGGCCGTAACCTGCTGCGTTAAAAGACTGTTTCCCAAGCTCCTCTGCAGTAGGTGGGGCTGTGTACCTAAGTTCTGACCAATGAATACTTCCACGGGGTGAGACATCTGGGATGGCACCTTAAAGGCAAAGGAGTTCTCAAATGGAATCAGGGCAGCTCAAGGGGAAAAGGAGGAAAGGGAGTATCATAAACAACCCCTTCCTCATTTGGTCTTGTTCTTCCTTCCTTTTGTTCCTCTGGATGGCGACATTTATAACGGGCAATATGCCTCTCTAAAAATTTACCTTGAGTGGGCAGCCAGTGGGGGTTTTTTTTTTTTTTTTGCTGAGGAAGATTGGCCCTGGGCTAACATCTGTGCCAGTATTCCTCTACTTTATATGTAGGTCGCTGCCACAGCATGGCTGATGATGGTGTAGGTCCATGCCCCTGATCTGAACCTGTGAACCCAGGCCGCCAAAGTGGAGCACACTACGCCATGGGGCTGGTCCCCAGTACTCTCCTTTTTCATAGAATATTTTAGCCTTGCTGGTCATCTTATCCAGAGCATGGAATGGCATACACTGCTGGAAGTTCTTCTTTTCTTCCTTACTAACATAACTCAAACCATCTTCAGGGCAGTTAAATGCCTAGCTAAAAGACTACATTTCCCAGCCTCCTTTGCAGTTGGGGGAGACCACTGATGAAGAACCCACCATTAGATGGGGTTTATGGGAAGGCTTTTTAAAGGGGTCTGACTCAGGTTAGAGTTGAGTCCCTCTTGTTCTTCCTCTCGTCCCCTTTCTTCCTAACAGGAATGGTAGGGCATGATGGCTGGAGCGCTGGCAGCCATCTTGGATGGATGCTACACGCTCAGGATGACAGAGCAGAAAGATAGGATCCTCATCCGTGACGACTGTGGAGCCGCCACACCAGTGGGGGTCTGCCAACCTCTGTACTTGTTACATCTGAGAGAAAAATAAACCCTGTGGTAGATTGTATTATGGTTCAAAACATTTGTGGCCCTTCTTCACATGAAGGTTACACATCTCCACTCCACTGGCCTGTGGCTTGCCACAGACTCGCTTTGGGCAAAGGAGTGACAGTGACATGCCCCACTTCTAAGTATAAAATTTACCAGGAGCCACTGGGTGATTCTCCCCACTTTCCCTTTCCCCTCCTCTCACAAGACCAGCAATATTGCACATAGTGGCGGCTCCTTTGGCCTGAGTCCCCAGTTAAGATACTGTAGAGTAGGGCCACAAATGGCCTGCAAAGGACACAGTGTGAGCAAGAAATAACCCTTTGTTGTAATAAGCCACTGAGATTTTGTGTTTGTTACTGCACATAACTTAACCATGCTGATTCCTACAGACCCCACAGTTTGTTTAAGCCACTGTTATTTAGGGATTTTGTTACTGCCAGCCAGGTGCAATTCGTAACTGACACGCCCTCCATTAGAGATGACTGTCATTTGTCCCTGAAAGGGCCTGAAACAGAACGAATGAATGTTTCCTCTGGCTGCCGGGGAAGGCTTTCAAGGTATTTCCCGGCAGCTAGTTCCCTCGATATGTTTCACCTTGTTCCTACCTAGTATCCATGCCCTCCCCTCAATCTCCTTTGGAAAGTGCTCCTCACCCAATTCTTAGCTCAGTGGCTTCTAGGAGACTGACTCAGGGGCGGGCCTTGAGGGGAGAATGGACTAGCCTGTGTGAGGAACAGCCTGGCAGCCACTGGTGGGATTTCAACAACACAGACATGAACTGATTTTTATCAAGTCATCTGGCCGCTACGCACAGTTGTCACTGTTCTCCTCATTATTATGTGTGAAGCACTTAGAACAGTGCCTGCCATACAGTAAGTGCTCTCTAAGTTATTATTATTACTGTTGTTGTAAGAGAGGCAAGGGTGGAGGCAGGGAGACCAGCAAGCAGCTATCAGTGTCTCATTAAGAGATGACAGCAGGGCCGGCCCTCTGGCTTAGCGGTTAAGTGCTCGCGCTCCGCTGCTGGCGGCCCGGGTTCGGATCCCAGGCGCGCACCAATGCACTGCTTCTCCGGCCATGCTGAGGCCGCGTCCCACATACAGCAACTAGAAGGATGTGCAGCTATGACATACAACTATCTACTGGGGCTTTGGGGAAAAAAAAGTAGGAGGATTGGCAATAGATGTTAGCTCAGGGCTGGTCTTCCTCAGCAAAAAAAAAGAGGAGGATTAGCATGGATGTTAGCTCAGGGCTGATCTTCCTCACACACACAAAAAAAGAGATGACAGCAGCTTGGACTACACTGTGACAACAAAGGTGATGAGAAGTGGTCAGACTGAATTTTTTTCTTTTTCTTATTTCCTAATAGTTTAGTTAGGATTTTTCCCATTTGCATTTATAATTGTAGTACCAAGCTATTAGGGGTTTTGTTGTGATTGTCCCAGGATGGGCATGTGTTTGGAAGGTAGAGTCAAAGGACGGGTTAATGGGCCAGTTTGGGGGCAGTGGTGCTGAAGAAGAGGAAGGACCAGGGGTGACTCCCAGGTTGTGTATTCAGTCCCTCGATGTCTGACCCCTCACCTATCCATGAGCTCTGTCAGGGCCAGAACAAGAGCTGTCAGGGTCCTCTGTGTCCAGCAGGGGCTTGCTTACTCCAGGAGACACTCAGAGTTGCTGAATTAATAAATGGTGCCAGAGGGATATATTTTAAAAAGCAAGTCTGGACACACTGATTTCAGCTTAAAGACTCCTCTGCTCTCCTCCTACCCACACCAGGGTCCCTTGGGATGGCTGGAACATGGACGGCTGGTTTCCTGAGGAGCCCATCTGAAATCCATTCACTGAATTCGTCCAACAAATATTTACTGAGTGCCCACTATGTGCCAGACACTGTTCCAGGTGCTGGGGACACAACACAGAACAAGACAGATAAAAATCCCTGCCTTCCTGGAGCTGACATTCTAGTCGGGGAGACAATAAAGGAATACATCAAATACGTGGTATGCCAGAGAGTGATGAGTGTTAGAGGGAGTAATAAAGCAGGAAGCAAATAGGGAGACTATGTATCTATCTGGGAGAGGGTGATCATTTTACACAGAGTGGTGGTCATAAAAGGAAGAACTTTCCAGGCAGAGGGAACAGCACAGGCAAAGGCCCTGGGCCACAGTGTGCCTGGCATGGTAGAGGAACATGGAGTAAGCCAGTGTCACTGGAGCAGAGTAAGGGGCAGGAGGGAGGAGATGACGTCATACAGATATTGGGCAGCCAGCTCCCGTAGGGCTCTGTAGGCCTGCTTTCTGCCTGCTCAAGCTTCACCTTCTTGTCTTTTACAGAGTGAGGTGGGAGCCAGGGGAGGGATCTGAGCAGAGGAGGGCCCTGATCTGACTCAGGGGTTCACAGGTTCCCTGTAACTGCGTGTTGAGAACAGACTGTGGGAGCAGGTTGACCAATGTAGAGGCTATTAAAATAGTGCAGTGGAGGGGAGGGGTGATAATGGCCAGGACCAGGGTAGGGGCAGAGAATGGGGTCAGAAGTGGTCAATTCTGGATAGATTTTAAAGGGAGAGCCAACAGGATTTGCTGATGGACTGGTTGAGGAATGTGTCCTGCTCCAGTTAGACTAACAAACCTGTAGTCCAACAAAGGTTTCTTTACCATGGCAAGGAGGGAGACTGCACACCAGAGGTACTGTGGGGAGTCTCATCAAAGGAACAGATAAGAGTTATTATCTGGGTTTGGGGGAAGGCTGAAGTTTAGGTGAAATGCAAATGAAACAGTGTTGGGATAGGCTCAAAGCAAAGCAGAACTGTGGGTAAATGGATCCATACCAGGTCTGGATTGTGAAGCGGGCCCAGGGTCCTGTCTCCTTGGAAGCAATAAAGTTTAGACACATGTGGACTACTCTGTCCTGAAACCCCTTACTGGAAGCTCTGCACCTGGATTATAAATCGAGGCCGCTTCTTTGTGTCAAAGTGACTTAACTCCTCCAGGCGTTAAGTGAGATGTTTTATGGTTACTGATATAATTTCAAACAGCAAAGTTTGTGATCATCTATGATTTCAGAGAACAAAGTTTCCTAGTGAGTAAGAAAGCAGCAGTCACTCAAAGAAGAGTTGTGTCACTTTACATCTGCAGCATGTCCTTGAGCAAAATATAGAAATACTTTTTCCTATTAACTCTTCAGCTGGCTTTCTCTGTGTCTGCTATACCAGCCAAATAAATGAGAAGGAAGATTTTTTTTTTTTTACTGTTCAAGCTAAGATTTTTAGTTTCTCAAGTGTAAGGAAAGAGGAGAGGTAAGGATGACGCTAAGGGTCTCAAGCCTGAATAACAGGAAGGATTGAAAGCTATTAACTAAGATAGGAAAGGCTGTGGGGGAGACAAGAGCAGGAGGTCAGTTTCAGATGTTTTGAGTTTGAGATGCCTCAAATTCGTGGACATGGCGAGTGGGCGGCTGCAGGCTCTTATAGAGCCCGGACTAACCTCACTTCTCCCTACGCAGCCCTCCTCTCATTCCGTTCGCCCCGTTCACTATCTGTAGTTAATCGTCTACCCCTGCTGTCACACATCTGCACCTTCGTACGTCAGGTGTGTGCTGGTGAAATGCTGGGAATACTGTCTCTTCACCTTGCTAACTCACACTCGCGAGCTGGACCGGCTGAACAACACAGCTGCACTCATCCTCGGGCCCCGCCCCCACAGGGCCCCGCCCCCTGTAAGCCCCGCCCCGCGCTTGCGCTCACTTGTAGAAGCTCACGGGGCGGTTGTCCGCGCCCAGTCGGCCCGCAGTGTTGGAACAGTTCGGAGCCCGGCAGTACTTGGGCATGGCTGTCCGGCCCCGCTGAGTTTGGCCCGATCTGCAGCGCACTTTGGTCCTCGCCGGACGCCGCCGAACCCCGCCCCGCCCCGCCCGCGCTCTCGCCTACCCCACGTGACGTCCCTTGGTGCTTGGTCACGTGCTGGGGAGGGACGAGAGCGCCTGCGTACTACGCGCCCTTCCGCGTTACCACAGCTACGCTCTCGTCACGTGGCGAATGGGGAAGAGCGAGTGCGTCTGAGCAAAGCCCCATCTCAGCCACCCTGACTTGATCACTCGTTGGGGGAGAGGAGGAGTCACGGCGTTTCTGAGTCTGCGCCAACTCCTCAGTCTTTTTCGGCTCCACCCCACGCTTACATCCGGGCGACTGCTGTTGGGCGGATAGTCGTCTTGGTGGGTGGGGGTCGTGCAGCAGCAAAAAGCGAGGTGCGGAGGCTTTGGCCTTCGCCTCGTGATAGTTAAAACCTGTATGTTTCAGTGAATGGTGAAAACACAGACTGGATAAAAAAGCCACGACTTTTGATCGAGCATCAGGCAGACTAGCTGTGGCTCCACCCGATCAGACTCTCCGCCGCGCCTCTTAGCCCTCATTGGTCAAAAGCGGCGCTCGGCGGCCCTGCGATTGGCCAGACCGGCGGCCTGCCGCGTCCAATGGGCGGCGGCGCCGGCTTTCCCGCGGCTGTTCGCTATTCAAGTGGGTTGTGGAGGCGGCGGCGGCGGCGGTTGAGGAGTGAAACGGTCGCCCGGCTCCGGCGCGACGATGGCAGCCTTGGGACCCGGAGGCTACGCGCGGAACGATGCAGTCGAGAAGCTGCCATCCGTCATGGCGGGAGTTTCGGCGCGGAGGGGCCAGTCCTCCCCGCCCCCCGCTCCACCGCTCTGCCTCCGGCGGCGGACGCGACCTTTGGCGGCGCCCGAGGACACGGTGCAGAACCGGGTGAGGTGCTGTTTGCCCTGCCCACCCATTTCGTGGCTACCTGGGCCTCCCTGGTCCCGCCCTCAGGTCTTTGGCCCCGTCTATCAGCCTCGGCTAGTGCCCTTGGCTGCTCTCTGGCCCCGCCCCGTCTCCTAGGTCCCGCCCCTTTAGCCAGGGCTCCTCCCACCGTCCCGTGCCCTCTCTCGGGTACTGCCTATCGTTCCTAGCCCACTTCTAAACCCCTGGCCCCACGGCACCCTTGGCACGTTGCTGGGTTCCTCCCTGGTCCCATCCCTCGGAGTGCTTTTTAGGTCTGATCACCTCCTAGTCCCGCCTTTCTGCATATCACTTTAGTCGCCTTTAGACGTGTCTCTGGACCCTTCCACTGTGGTTGACCTCGCCCCTCGCCGGGTCTTTAGGGTCCCTACTGAGGTTCAGTCCCAAGTCCTACCTGCTTCAACTCTCCCTCAGCTCTACTCCTCCTTCGCTCACCCCTGCCTTCTGTTTCCTTCTTCCTTACCACGGTGGGATTCTTATTCCATATTGCCACCCTAAGTTATGGAGAGGATGTGAATACCATGAGTAAAATCTCAGCATCGCTGCCTGGGGGGAGGGCATACAGAACAGTTTCCTAAGTCCTGAGACACAAACAAAGGAGATTTTAGAGTAGGTAGAAGGAATTCGATTAGCACAGCGCAATTTTTAAAAAAGTGTTCTCCAACTCCTTGAGCCACAAAGTCTGTTTGTGTAAAATGGAGATAACAATAACCATACCGTGGAGTTGTAGAGAGGCGAAATGAAGTTGTGAATATGACCTGCTTGGCACAGAGTCCAGATGAAAGGTAGCTGCTGGTGGATCTTGTTCCTGCTCCTTGATTTCCTGCTGCACTCTGATTATATCACCCACTCCTTGCAAGGCCCTGGGCAAGTGGCCCCTGCCCACCTCTCTGGCTGTACCTGCCTTGTCCTCTCTCTCACGAAGATTCAGTCACACTGGCCTGCTTTCTGTTTTCCGGAGGCTCCAAGCTCTTTCCAGCCTCCTAACCTTTGTGTTTGGTGAGTTCTCTGGGCTTTTTGCGGCAATCTACCTGGCAGGCTTTTCATCACTCACGTCTCAGCGTGACTATCCCTACCCTGAGAGGCTTTCTTGAACCCCAGCCTAAAGCAGACACCCACCTTAATCTCTCACCCAGCGCCCTGAACTTCATAGCCCTCATCTTGTATGTTCCTGAAAGTGCCTTGTGAGCTCTAAACAATGTACAAAAGAGAGGAATAACCACAGCAGTTTCAGAGAGGCAGTACAGCAAGGTGGCTAACAGCACTGCCTCTGGACCCAGCCCACCAGGGCTTAAGCCTTAATTCTGTTCTTTCTGTTAGGAACTTTTCTGTGCCTCCATTTCCTCATCTGTAAAATGAGGATAGTAGTATAAATATTCCCTTATAGGGTATTTTTGAGGATTAAGTGAGCTCACCTGCCTTAAGCACTTAGAACAATACCTGGCACATTGCAAGTACTCTGTTAGTGCCAGCTGTGACTGTTATTATTAAAATACAGCTATGACTATGTATTTTGGATAATTGATATCATTTTTTATTTTTCTTGCTTGGCTGGACAGAGTCCATCTGGCTTGCAAAAGACCTAGTCTAAAAATGACCAGTTATACTAATCCTCAGTAATACTGATTGACAGATAAGACCCACATAAGTGCCATTGCTTGGGTGCCTGGTTAGAGTCCTGCTGCTGCTCCTTCCTGGATGGGTCACCCCTCTGGGCCTCTGTTTCCTCGTCTGTAAGATGGAGATGATGATGACAGTAGTGACATCACAGGGTTAGTGTGAGCATTAATAAGTTAACACAGTTATAGGTATTGGAACAGGGCCTGGCTCCTGGTAAATGCTCAGTGAACATTAGCTATTAGTATCCTGTTTGCCTTTCATTTCTCTATTTTTTTTTGTGAGGAAGATTAGCCCTGTGCTTACATCTGCCAGTCCTCCTCTTTTTGCTGAGGAAGACTGGCCCTGGGCTAACATCCGTGCCCCTCTTCCTCTACTTTATGTAGGACGCCACCACAGCATGGCCTGAGAAGCAGTGCATTGGTGCGCGCCCGAGATCCGAACCCGGGCCGGCCGCCAGCAGCAGAGCGCGCACACTTAACCGCTATGCCACAGGGCCAGCCCCTGCCTTTCATTTCTGAGGCCAAAGACTTGCTTGAGGATGTTTTACTTTATGATAATTAGAAACTCATCTATTCAAAATATGAAAATACCACAATTCTATGAGTCCGTACTCTGAATTGTTTAATCAGCCACGGTGGGGACTGGCCCATTTAACTTACTTTGCTTAGAGAGTTTTCTCGTTTTAAACGTGAGCGTTCACTTGTTTCTTTACTTATTGAACCTCTAGACTGTGAATTTGGTGAGGGAATGGACAGTATCCACTTTTACTCGCTGCTGTGTCTCCCCTGCAGGCCCAAGGTGCTGGCTTCGGAGCCAGCCCAACCTTGCCACTCCGCAGGTGTGGGACCTTGGGCCTCAGTGTCCTCCTCTGTAAATAGGGCTGATAATGGTGCCTTCTTCCTTGGGTTGTCATGGGGTTCCAGGTCTTCCATCTGTATAGAAATTTACTTGCAGGTCACCTTCTCAGGGAGGCCTTCTCCCTTGCCCTGTGCTCCCAGCTTCCTTCCCTGCTGTTTTCCTCTGTCGCTTCTGGCATCACCTGGCATCTATTTTATGTATTCGTTCTGTCCATTTGCTCTGTCCTCCATCCGTCACGCCCAGAATGTGAGCTCTAGGAGGGCGGGGGTCTTTGTCTGTCTTCCTCACCCTTCTGTGCCCTTCACTGAGCACTGTGTATTTGTCAAAGGAACGTTGAGGAGAATGAGTGTGAGCTGCTGGTGCATGACTGGAGAAGCTCAGTGAGCGTGTTGGCTGTAACAGGAACTGAATGGGTGGCTGAGGCAGCTGTGCCACGTGGCGCCTGCTGGGACAGGTACTTCTGACTGGGACTTTTCCCTGCAGGTGTCACTGGAGAAGGTGCTTGGCATCACAGCCCAGAACAGCAATGGCCTAGCCTGTGACCCCAGCACAGGCCACGTGGCCTACCTGGCAGGGTGAGTGCATGGGTGGGCCCCGGCTTCTCCACCTGTAGAGTGCAGATAATGCTGCCGACCTCTGAGGGCTGTGGGGAGGATTGCACGGGCCCACCTGTGTCTAGATCAGTGCCTGGCATGTAGTGGGCGCCACGAAGGCTTAATCGTGACTGCAGGTGGGAGGTGGCAGCGAGTCTGGGAAAGACAGGTGGGTAAGACCCAAGCTGTGGTAGCGGGCAACCTAGATTTGTGTCTCATCTCCACCATATATGCCCCTTTCCGAGCATCCCCACTCTGTCCCTGACCTACTAGGTGGCCCTGGGCGAAGGACTTCTCCTCTCTGGGCTTCAGTTTCCTCATCTATAAAATGGGACTAAGATTTCCGACCTCACTTGGCAGTTGTGAGGATTTGAAGAGATTGTGCATGTAAGGTCTGTATTCACCCAGGGCCTGACAGAGTCGTTACCACAGGGGAAGTGTTGGTTTCTATTTAAGAATATAATAATAATGTGAAAGGCCCTAGAATTCTCAGCATAGACACCTGGAGGAAGAGAAGACCAGAGAATCTTCTGTTCAGAGGGTGCCTTATTTATATGTGGGCACTTGTGTTGAGAATAGAATTGTCCCTGGGCCCCAGTATTCCCCTCATTTTGGGCACATGTTCCTCTTTCTCCCCAGCTGTGTGGTGGTGATTTTGAACCCCAAGGAGAACAAGCAGCAGCACATCTTTAATACTGCCAGGTAGGCCGGGGCCTGGGCATGAGGTAGGGGTGGGCCCCGGGTCCTGGCACATCCCCCTCCTCCCATTACCTGGAAGTGCTCATGGATGGGTGACTCCTCATTCACTCACCTGTCAGTCTGCTCTGTGCTTGGTGCCGTTCCAGGTGCTGGGGACACGGCAGTGAACAGAGAGAGGAGAATCTCTGTTCTCATAGAGCTCATGGCTCAGTGGAGGAGACAGACTAAACCAGGCAGCAAATTACTAGCCGACTATGACTATTGCTGTGGAGGAAATGGTGGAGATGTGTTAGGGCAGGTTTGCGGGCGGAGAGTGGTGCGGGAAGCCGTATCAGAGGGCTCAGGGAAGGCCTCCCTGGGGCTGAGACCTGCAGGAAGTGAGGTGAGCTGTGAAGGTGAGGGGATAACATTCCAGGCAGAGGGAACAGCAAGAGCAAAGGCCCTGCAGTGGTTAAGAGTCTCGGGCTGTTTGAGGAGCAGCGGAGGGCCCATGTGCCTGGAATGGAGGCGTGGGTGAGGGGGAGATGAGCTTGGAACAGGCAGAAGCCTCCTCACTCCTGCCTTGGGAAGGAGGTTGGATACTGTTGCAAAGAGAAGCCACTGGAGGGCGTTCACAGGCTGGGGCTGTTGCTTTCCACACCCAGCCCTCCAGCACGCTCTGTCTCCCTTCTGTTTTACTTTTCTCCACAAAATGTACTGCTTTTTGCTGTGCTATCTAATTTCCTCTCTGGTGATCTTGATAGTCTCTCTTCCACAGTGTGAGCTCTCTGAGGGCGGGGACTTTCTCTTCGTTAAACCTGTGTCCCTCTCACTTAGAGCAGTGTCTAGCACATTGGTAGCATTTATTGTTTCCTGAACAAATGCGTGTGATTTGGGTTGTAGAAAGATCCCTCCGGCTGCCAGTTTACTGGGGAAGGCCCTTGTTCCTGAGCAGGCTCAAGTAGGTGCCCAGGGGGTCTGCCTTCAGTCTAATTGATGACTGTGTCATCCTGGGGCTTTGGTCTCAATTGGGTTATGACCTTTGGGAGGCACCCCACTGCCATTATTTATTTCATAAATAGTGCAGAAGTGTCACTCCATGGCGTAGCTCAAGCTGAGCTCCTTTGGCCTGGTTCTCCAGGTGGACAGATAAGATGTGGGTTTTCTTCTTCCCTTATGGTCCCTATGATAGGATCCTTAAGAAGTGGCAGGTGGGCCGGCCCCGTGGCTTAGCGGTTAAGTGCGCGCGCTCTGATGCTGGCGGCCCGGGTTCGGATCCCGGGAGCGCCCCGAGGCACCACTTCTCCGTCCAACGCGAGGCCGAGTCCCACGTACAGCAACTAGAAAGATGTGAACCTATGACGTACAACTATCTACTGGGGCTTTGGGGGGAAAAACTGAATAAATAAAATCTTTAAAAAAAAAAAAAAAAAAAAATTGCTCTTAAAAAAAAAAAAAAAAAGAAGTGGCAGGTCCCTGTAGTATGGCAGATACAAATTCCCTCTTGGAAGGGGCTTCTTGGACCCTTGGCTCCTGGCTCTGGGTTCTGTCACTGGTGGTGAAGGCAGCGGTGGATTCCAGCCCTGGCTCAAGTATTTATTCACTATGTGATCTCAAGTGAGACGCTTCTTGGCAGCGGTTGCAAACGAGAGGCCCATGGACTTGTCTGACACAGGATGTTTGAAAGAATGGACTCAGTTGACAACATTTAAAGTGATTTACACAGAAATCCAGATGCCCGCTCATTTTGGAAAAGCAAGAGATTCTGGCCCCTGGGGCCCACATTCCCCTCTGGCAGCGATGGGCTGGAGCTTGGTGGCATTTGTCAGCCCCCCCCCGCCCCCTCCGGGCCATTCCTCTCATCCTCCCTGTTGCCTCCCTGATTCCTGTAAGCAGTGGAGTAGGTAACCTTGATCTCAAGCAGGTGGCATGGGGGTGTCCACTCTCTGTCTTAGGAGGTTGTGTGGCCAGTGAGGAGGTTGTCATCCTAGCTGCATTTCAGAGTCCCCTGGTCCCTGGGCCTAAACCCCAGAGAAGGCGGAATCAGTTGGTCTGGAGCGAGGCCGGAGCATTGACAGTTTCTAAGCTTTTTATATTTAATTTCAGACTTAAAAGAATAGTACAAAGAGCACTTGTACACCTTTCATCCATATTTCCCAAATGTGACCATTTTACCACATTTGCTTTATCGTTCTCTGTCTGTATACATATACATTTTTTTCTGAACCATTTGAGAGGAAGTTGCAGACATGATGTCCCCCTACCTCTAAATACTTCAGTGTGTATTTCCTGCAACAACAACAAAAAAAAACCAAACATGATCCTTCAAAACCACAGTACATTCAGCAAAATCAGGAAGTTAAAATTGGTACATCTCTACCATCTACTCCTCATTCAGGTTTCCCCTTTTGTCCCAAGAATGTCCTCTATAGCAAAAGGATTCCGTCCAGGATCCCGCATTGCATTTAGTTGTCTCTTCAGTCTCCTTCTGTCTGAAGGTTCCTCCTTCTTTTCTTGACTTTCATGACCTTGACACTTTTGAGGGTTACAAGCCAGGTATCTTGTAGAACGTCCCCACCTTGGGTTTGTCTGACGTTTCCTCATTGATAGATTCAGGTTCTCAGGAACACTTCAGAAGGAATGCTGTGTTCTTCTGGGGCATTCTCTCAGGAGGTGCATGACATTTCTCTCTCCACTGACTGGTGGTGTTCCCTTTGAGCCCTTGGTTAAGGTGGTGTCTGCCAGGCTTCTCCACCACGAAGCCTCTCTTTTCCCCTTTGTGATCAGTGAGTATCTTGGGGGAAGCTTCTCTGAAACTGCACATATTACCCTGTTGCTCACCAAACTTTCACTCACTCGTCTTAGCACGGCTTTGACATCTTTCAATAGCTCCCCAGGGAATTGATGTGCAGCCAGGGCTGAGAACCGCTGGCCTAGAAGCCAGGGCTCTACCCTGTCTGGTGAGGTAAGCTTGGGCAGGGGACCTCCCTATGTTGAGGTCTCCTCATCTCAGAACTGGCTAACGAGAGTCCTGACCTCACAGAGCGTGTGTGGGGAGTCAGTGCAGTGATGCCCATACGGCATTTGGCAGAGGGCCGGGCACAGTGTCAGGGCATGCGACAGTTGGGTTAGCAGTGGCTGCAGACAACAGAAACCCCACAACAAGCGTGGCTTGAAACACGAGGGCATGCTCTTCCTGCACGTAAGTCTGGAGGTAGACCCCCAGGGGGCTGGTGTCTATGCAAGCATCAGGGACCCCTCTCCCTGTCCTTCTGTGGCACCATGCTTACTGTGAGGCTTCTCTTCTTGAGGTGGCTTCGTGGTCCAAGATGGAGTCTGGCTGTCATGTCTTTGTTTCAGAAGGGGAACAAGTGGGGAGCAAGGCAGAGAGTGCCCTCTGAGAAACTTTTCTGGAAGTCTCACAGAGCACTTCAGCTTACCTCTCGTTAGCCAGACTAAGTCACGTAGCTGTGCTTGTGTAGCTACGAGAGAGGTCAGGAATGTAGTCTAGCTGGGGACACTGCTATCCCAATGACAACTGGGATTCTGTGAGTGAGGAACAGGGGGCGAGTGGCTGTTGGCTAGGTGGCCCCCTTGTCTGCTGCAGTCAGGAGCCATAGGAAGCCACTGGAGGCTTGAGTGGATGATGATAAATGTTCTGTGAGGTTGTGAAAGACTCACTCAGAGGCATTCACTGAGTTTTCTGTACACCGATCTACTCATGTGAGAGAGACAATTACTAGACTGTTAAGGAGCAGCGGTAAAAACAAGATTAAAAGAGAGAAGGGAGAGAAAGAAACAACAGTCTGGGAACGGTGGAACTTGCTGCCCAAAAAGTGAGCAAACTAGTCCAGTCATTGAGGCCTTGAGCAGGCTCGCTGGGAGTATCAGAGACGTGCTGGTTGCTCACGGATTTTCCAGAATACCTTGAGCGTTTGGCAGTGGAGCACGCGCTACAGCTGTCTCAGCGTGCTGTCTGCCAGGGTCCTCCCTTCAGCACCACCCAATAGTTAGGCCAGATCCGTATATTCCTACATCTGAATTTCTCCGGGTTAGAAGGCGAATTTCTCAGGGAGGCCACCCCTGCCCAGGGAGAGGAAGGAGGGTCCCTGTAGAGTGTCCATCCCATCTGGGTTTGGGGCTTTAGGGAGGAAGGGGCCTTTGCTTTTACAAAACCCCAGTTCCCTGTGCCGCGCCACCTTCTCCTGGCAGTAGGGAAGGCACTCTGTCTGGGTGGGGCCCGTAGGCAGCACGGGCTCTGTGGGAGCTGCTGGTGCTCACCTCTCGGGCCTTTCCTCAGTCGGGAGCAAGAGTGGACAGAGTGCTGTGAGCACAGCCAGGCTGGGGGCTGGCTGCCCCCCTGAGTGGGACGAGTGATCAACCCCTTTCGTTGTCCCCAGGAAGTCTCTGAGTGCTCTGGCCTTCTCCCCTGATGGGAAGTACATAGTGACAGGGGAGGTGAGTCGTGATCCTGATTGAGTGGGTGGGGTGGTCTTGGGGCCATTCGTTCCGTGCCCAGCAGGCCTGGGGAGTCCCTGGAATAGCTCCTTCCTGGGCCACAAGAGCCCCGTGGCAGGCGGGAGGGGGCTTTCGGGCACACCCGGGGCAGTGCCACTGTCAGCCCTGACAGCCCCTCTTGACCTGCCTGGGGCACAGCCAGCAGCAGTCATGGCCTCACCTTCCCCAGAACGGGCACAGGCCTGCCGTGCGCATCTGGGACGTGGATGAGAAGAGTCAGGTGGCAGAGATGCTAGGCCACAAGTACGGCGTGGCCTGTGTGGCCTTCTCCCCCAATATGAAGCACATCGTGTCCATGGGCTACCAGCACGACATGGTGCTCAACGTCTGGGACTGGAAGGTGAGAGCCAACTGGTGGGCATGGGAGCACCAGCCTGAGTCTGGGCCATTGGACAACTAAATGAGATCACTTGGTAAGGTGCTCGTTTATCCAGCAAACGTTTATGGAGCACCTACCACATGCCGATCCTTGTTCTAGGCACTTATGTAGGGCACATGACAAGCTCTCAACTAGTGGGATTCTGTAATTATTTTTATGTTGACCAGCTGTGACCTTGAGCAAGTGACCCAACCGCTCTGAGTCTGTTTCGTCATCTGTACAACGGGTATAATAGTATCTACCTTGTTGAGTTGTGAGAATTCAGTGAGTGGATGTGGAAGGCTGGACTTTGGAACAGTTCTGGGAAGACTTAAAGTTGGCCGAAGTGGCTACCAAGTTCTTGCTCTGCTCATAATCTGCTGTGTGACCTCGAGCACATGACATCCCCCTCTGAGCCTAGCAGAGTGGGGGGAGAAGCACCTCCCTTAGAGAGCTGTTGAGGGGATTCCATGAGTTATCCTGTGAAGGGCTCAGTGGGGCCCAGAGTGAGAGCCCTGTCTGTGGCAGGCATGGGTTGTGTTGTCCTTCTCTCCCAGCTGTGGCTGTCCTCAACACCGTGTGTGGGCTGCACAGCTTGAAGTCTTGGGGAGAGCTCCGTAGCTTACGCTCACGTGGGAGCCTTTCCAGGCTCAGTCTCCTCTGTGTTGGGATGATAAGAGTGCCACGCATGGGTTCCCCATAAAACAGCTCACAGGAGGGCCCAAGAAGCAGACATGGAGCAGGGGAGAGTGGGGAGATGCAGGGCTGAGGGCAAAGCCATGAATAGTCCAGCTGGGTAGGTGCTGGCGTGAACTTCTCTGTACTGATTCTTCCAGAAAGACATTTTGGTGGCTTCCAACAAGGTATCATGCAGAGTCATCGCCCTCTCTTTCTCAGAGGACAGCAGTTATTTTGTCACTGTTGGGAACCGGCACGTGAGGTTTTGGTTCTTGGAAGTCGCCACTGAGGCAAAGGTGAGTTTCTGTCCCTGACGCCTCAGCTGGCCCGGGGAGTAGCCATCACGGACAGTACGGACTCCTGTTTCTACCTGAGATTTGGGGGCAGTGGTCTCAGAGGCTGTCCGGCCTCTCAGGGGTCTAGCTTCTGCCTCTGGGCCTGCTCTCCGGGTTCTGACTGGCAGCCCTGCTGGGAAACCTCCCCCCACAGCCTCCCTCACGACCCTGGGGCCAGACATAATTCCTGGATACCGCTTTCCAGCCACTCTGCCTGGAAGTGTGTTCTGTTTTTTCTTCCCTTCTCCACTTGGAGAAGTTTCTTCGAGTCCTCCTGTTTGGCTATGTTGTATTCTCCAGTCATGAGAGGCCCATCGTGACCTTGCTGGGGGCTGGGCCGTGTGGACAGTGTCTCACTGTGCTCTGCTGTGCCTCCAGGTGACAGGCACCGTGCCCCTCGTGGGGCGCTCAGGCATCCTGGGTGAGCTGCACAACAACGTCTTCTGTGGTGTGGCTTGTGGCCAGGGCCAGATGGCAGGCAGTACCTTCTGTGTGTCCTCCTCGGGCCTCCTCTGCCAGTTCAACGAGAAGAGGGTGCTGGAGAAGTGGATCAACCTAAAGGTACCCACCCTCCCTCTCTGCCATCCGGGGGAGAAACACTCTTCCCATGACATGTCTCTCCAGGGACATTCAGCAGTGTCCCTGCCTGCTAGTTGAGCGCACCTGCTCTGGGTTTGACTTCAAGTTCTGCTTGTGCATCTCCGGTGAGTGACTTTCCCTCTCTGAGCCTGTTTCCTCATCTGTAAAATGGCAGTACTGCTACCTGTCTGCCAGTTGGTAAGGGAGTCACATGAGATAATGTGTGTAAGGGACTTAGCACAGTGCCTGGGACCCTGTAACGGGGGTCAAGGTTACTGTTGCTTTCTCATCACTGTTTGATCCAGTTCACATTTCTCTTCATTGAGCACTTTTGGCATGGGAGGGCTACATTTTTTTTTTTTAATCTAAGGTATCATTGATTTAATTTTTCAGTCAAAAACGACTATACAAAATACATAACATTTTAAACTGAAGGATGATCTATCAATAAATTGCGGAACCACTTTTCTTCAGGATCTGAGGGTTTGGGTTGAAGCTGTCTTCCCATTCTGAGATTGGATGCCCACCTGGCTGTCGGCAGGAGCATGGTGGTTTGCTCCTTGTTCTATTCCTGCTCTTGTGACCCCTTTCCAGAGCTCACCTTTAGGGTTACCTCGTGGTGTCGGGCATGTGGAAGAATTCTGAGTTTTATCCGTCTTTCCTAGTTGGTTAAACATCATTTTTTTTCCTGTTTGAATCCTCTTGCTGGAACTTATGCAACTTTTTAGCAAGTCAGAAGCTTTTGACAGATAGACGTTTAGCCCCTGAGCAGTTGTCCTAAACGACTCATAAATTAAGTCCCTCTGGCTTTGGAAAAACTCTTCCAATCTGTGTCAGGAGGTCTGGCACTTCCTGCCCCTTCCTGTATGTCCTGCCAGGATGGACAGTACTTCCTGTATGCAGAAACTTTTTTCTATGCTGCTGTGAAGTGTAATCTCTATGAAGTTGTTTTTAAGCCATAGGGAATAAAATTTAGGCCTCGGATTCAGCCCTGTGACTGCAGGTGACCGATCTGAAGTCATAGACTGCCACACAGATGTTTACCACGCAGCTGACTTCCTCTGTAGACAGCAGCGAGAGCGCCCTCCCAGGCCGTGCCTCTGTTTGCCTGCTGGCACATTTCCTTCAGTAGTGTCTGTATGCTATATTCTGATTGCAAACATCTTAAAATTTGCCAAAATGAGCTTCTTAGACCCAAGAAACTGTAAGGCTTCTCTGGAGGCCCAAGGCTGTTCTCCCAGTCGCCGTGTCCCTGAACCAGGCCACACAAAGCACCAAGACCACTTGGAGCCCCTCTACCCCCACAGGTATCCCTGTCTTCCTGCCTCTGTGTCAGCCAGGAGCTCATCTTCTGTGGCTGCACAGATGGGATAGTCCGCATCTTCCAGGCCCACAACCTGCACTACCTCGCCAACCTGCCCAAGCCGCACTACCTCGGGGTGGACGTGGCCCAGGGCCTGGAGCCCAGGTACTACCGAGCAGGGGGAGGGGAAGG